AAGCAGTGGTATCAACGCAGAGTACTCCGGCCGGTCGCGGAACAGCAGCAGGAAGGCGATCAGCACGATGAGTGCGACGCCGGCCGGGAACAGCCAGATCTGCTGCCAGTCGGGCCCTGCGGCGGTGGTGTAGTGCTCCACCACCGCGCCGGACAGGAAGGTGCCGATCAGCATGCCCACGCCATAGGTGGCCAGGGTGATGAAGCCCTGCGCACTGCTGCGTGCGTCGGGACCGGCATGGGCATCGGTGTAGATCTGGCCGGTGACGAAGAAGAAGTCGTAGCAGATGCCATGCAGCACGATGCCGATCACCAGCAGCGAGAAGCCACTGCCGGCATCGCCAAAGGCGAACATGCCGTAGCGCACGGACCCACGCTGCCATGCCCACCGCCAGCATCGTCTTGACCCCCAGCCGCACGAACAGAAACGGCATGGCCAGCATCAGCAGCACTTCCGAAACCTGGCCCAGCGACTGCAGGCCCGCGGCGCCGCGCACGCCCAGATCGTTGAGATAGGGGTTGGTGAAGTTGTAGTAGAACGACAGCGGGATGCAGATGGCGATGGAGGCCAGGAAGAACACCAGATAGGACCGCGACTTCAGCAACCGCAGTGAATCCAGCCCGAGGATCTGACCCAGCCCGGCGTCACGTTGCCGGGCCAGCGGCGGCGTGTGCGGCAGAGTGAAGGCATACAGGCCGAGCAGCAGCGATGCCAGCGCGGCCATCTGGAAGGTCAGCTCGAGCCGGTGTGCCTGCTCCCAGCCCATCCAGCCGATCAGCACGCCGGCGATGATCCAGCCGATACTGCCGGCTACGCGCACCAGCGGGAACTGCTTTTCAGGCGATTGCATGTGCCGCATCGCCACGCTGTTGGCCAGTGCCAGCGTCGGCATGAACAGCAGCATGTAGCCCATGACGCAGGCGGAGAATGTGGTGAAGTCTGTCGCGGTGGACGCCAGCCACAGCAGCACCGCACCGGCCAGGTGCAGGACCGCGAGGATGCGCTGCGCCGCGAAGTAGCGATCGGCGATCAGCCCGACCAGGAAGGGCGCGACGATGGCCCCGATCGACTGGCTGAGGAAGGCGGTCGCGACCTGGCTCGCGCTGGCCTGCAACGGGCCCTGCACCAGGTACGTGCCCAGGGTGACGAACCACGCTCCCCAGATGAAGAACTGCAGAAACATCATCGCGCTCAAGCGCGACATGGCGTGCGTCATGGCTTGCCCTCCCGGGGCGGTAATGACTCAGATTCCCAGCATGCGGTGCAGTGAAGCGGCGTCGGTGCCGCTGTCGGCGAAATCATCGAAGGCGCGTTCGGTCACGCGGATGATGTGGTCGCGGATGAAGGCAGCGCCTTCGCGCGCGCCGTCCTCCGGGTGTTTCAGGCAGCACTCCCACTCCAGCACCGCCCAGCCCGGAAAGTCGTACTGCGCCATCTTCGAAAAGATCGCCTTGAAGTCGATCTGGCCGTCGCCGAGCGAGCGGAACCGGCCCGGACGATCGATCCAGTCCTGGTAGCCGCCATACACGCCGCTGCGGGCGCTCGCACGGTACTCGGCGTCCTTGACGTGGAAGATGCCGATGCGGTCGTGATAGCGGTCGATGAAGCCCAGGTAGTCCATCTGCTGCAGCAGCAGGTGGCTGGGGTCATACAGGATCTTCGCCCGCGGGTGATGATCCACCACGTCGAGGAAGCGCTCGAAGGTGGCGCCGTCGTGCAGGTCTTCGCCGGGGTGGATCTCGAAGCACAGGTCCACGCCGCAGGCGTCGAACGCATCCAGGATCGGGCGCCAGCGGCGGCCGAGTTCGGCGAAGGCTTCGTCCACCAGGCCGGGCGGGCGCTGCGGCCAGGGATAGAAGTACGGCCAGGCCAGCGCACCGGAAAAGGTGGCGTGCGCGGTCAGTCCCAGATGCTGGCTGGCCTTGGCCGCCAGCATCAGCTGATCGACCGCCCAGGCCTGGCGGGCGGCGGGGTTGCCGTGCACCGCAGGCGGTGCGAAGCCGTCAAAGAGGCTGTCATAGGCGGGGTGGACGGCGACCAGCTGTCCCTGCAGATGGGTCGACAGTTCGGTGATCTGCACACCGTGTTCGGCCAGCATGCCGGCAACATCATCGCAGTAGGCCTGGCTGTGTGCTGCTTGGGCCAGATCGAACAGGTGGGGCGCCGTGGTGGGTACTTGTACGCCAGAATAGCCCAGCCCCGCGGCCCATCCGGCCAACGTGTCCAGCCGATCAAAAGGAGCTTTGTCGCCGATGAACTGCGCCAGGAACAGCGCTGGACCCTTGAGCGTCTTCAAGATGATTCGCCCTCGATGCAATCGATTGCATTACCCTAGCATGGGCCTCCCGCAGACCCGTTGTGCAGTGCACAGCGGAAACAAGAGCTGAAACCATGGCAACCATCTACGACATCGCCAAGCACGTGGGCGTCTCTGCCGGCACGGTGTCGCGGGCGCTCTCCCGGCCGGACAAGGTGCTGCCTGCCACGCGCGCGCGCATCGAGCAGGCGGCTGCCGCGCTCGGCTACGTGCCCAACACGGTGGCCAGGACACTCAAGACCCAGCGCAGCGGCAAGATCCTGGTCACCGTGCCGGATATCGCCAATCCATTTTTCGCCCAGATCCTGAAGCAGTGGTATCAACGCAGAGTACTGGTTGGCTACGCGGTGCTGCTGGGCGATACCCAGCACCAGCCCGACCGCGAGGAGCGCTATGCGCAGATGCTCCGGCGCAACGAGGCCGACGGCATGATCGTGCTGGGGCATCGATTGCCGCCGACGGCGCGCGAGATCGTGCAGCAGCGCGGCGCCGCCGCGCCGGTGGTCAATGGATGCGAGTTCGATCCTGCGCTGGGCATTCCCAGCGTCCATATCGACAACGCGGCGGCTGCACGCGCGGTGATGGAACACCTCTATGGATTGGGTCACGAGCAGATCGCCGTGGTCGGCGGGCCGCCCGACAACCCCCTGCACCAGCAGCGGCTGCAGGGCGTCCGGGCCGCGGCAAGGCGCGCGGGAAGGCTGCGCCAGCAGCGCATCGTGCCAGGCGATTTTTCCGTGGAATCCGGCCATGCGGCGGCAATGGCGTTGCTGGACGTGGCACCGGCAACCGACCGCGATCTTCTGCTTCAGCGACCAGATGGCGCTGGGCGCCCTGGCGGCCTGCCGTGAGCGGGGTATCCGCGTGCCGGATGACCTGTCCATCGTGGGGTTCGACGACCTGGCGTCCTCCCGTTACCTCACGCCGCCGTTGACGACCATCCGGCAGCCGATGCGCGAGATCGGCGAGCGCGCGGTCAAGCTGCTGCTGGCGATCATCGAGCATGCCGATGTGCCGCTCCAGCAGACGCTGGATTTCAGCCTGATGCTGCGCGGCTCGACGGCGGCGCCCAGGCCAGGTCGCGATCTTGATCCTTGATCCCGAATTGACGCGAAGCTGTCAGACTCACGCCAGGCAGCCCGGCACGCGTCGAGGTGGAGTGCCGGGCTGGAGTGCTGAGGTGGAGTTCTGAGATGGAACGTGCGATCGCGCAAGGGGGTCGGCAATGCCGTTCTTGACTGACTCGACCGAGGTCGCGGTCGAGGGCATCGGCGCGGCGCGGCGCATCGGCTGGATGCGCTTCGTGGGCAATGGCCTGGGCGCGATCCCGATCGCCTCGATCATCCTGGAACGCCATGACGGTGCGCTGGCCTGGGTTCTGCTGCTGCTCAATGCACTGGCCTGGCCCGCGCTCGCGCTGCTGCTGACCCACCGCTCCCGGCAGCCTGCCGTAGTCCAGTTCCGCTGCCATGGTGGCCGATTCGTGTTCGGCGGTGGCTGGATCGCCTTCATGGGGTTGAGCGCGGTGCCCAGTGCACTGTTCGCGGCGCTGCTGGTCGCCGACAAGATCGCTGCCGGCGGCGTGCGCCTGGCGATGCGCGCCACGCTGGCACTGGTGCTGGGTTTTGCGATCACCTGGTGGGCCCTCGGGTTTCCCTATCAGCCGGTGACCTCGCAGCGCACGATCGTGCTCAGCGTGCCGTTCCTGTTCGTCTACGGCATCGGTCTGAGCATCCTCAGCTGGCAGCTGGCGCGTCGGGTGAAATCGCAGAACCGGCAGCTGCAGCGCTTGAGCCGGATGGACCCGCTGGTCGAGCTGGCCAACCGCGGCTTCCTGATCCTGCGCGCGCAACAGGCGCTGGACAAGGCGCAGCGGCAGGGCGGCTTTGCCTGCCTGCTGATGCTGGACGTGGATGATTTCAAGCGCATCAATGACTCGCATGGCCACCGCGCCGGTGATGAGGTCCTGCGGCACATCGCCTCGGCCCTGCGCGCGTTTGCCCGGCCGGGTGATACCCCGGCCCGCCTCGGTGGCGATGAGTTCGTCGTGCTGCTGCACGACTGCGCGCCGGTGGATGCGATGCATGTGGCCGAGCGGGTGCGCCTGCACCTGCTCGAGGCCGCCCGCCAGGCCACCCCGGGCGTGGAGTTCAGCGTCAGCATCGGGATTGCCGCCACGCCGCGCGGCGGTAGCGTGGAGGACTGGCTGGCGCAGGCCGACCGGGCGCTGTACCACGCCAAGCGGCAGGGCAAGAACAACGCCAGCTACGGCGAACACGGCGCCGCCCAATGACGGCGTAACGGCCGTTCATCCTGCACACGGAATCGCACGGCCAATCCTCTACCATGGGCCACCCCGCCCGGACGTGCCCCCATGCAAGACGCCCTTGTTGTGCAGCCCAAGCCCCCCGTTCCGCGGATCGCGGCCTGGCTGATGATGCTGCTGGGCATGTGGCTGGCGCTGAAGCTGGGGCTGGTGGTGACGCTGCTGTCGGGCCTGCTGGTGTTCCAGCTGACCCACCTGCTGGCCTCCACCGTGGAAGGCCGGTTGCCACCGGGGCGGGCACGGGCGATCGCGGTGATCGTGCTGTCGGCGGTCATCATCAGCGCGCTGGTACTGGCCGGGATCGGCGTGGCCTCGTTCTTCCGCAACGAGACCGGCGGGCCGGACGCGCTGCTGGCACGGCTGATGGAGATCCTCAATTCGTCGCGGCACCAGGTGCCGGCGCTGTTGCAGCCCTACATTCCCGAAGACATGCCGGCGCTGCGCGCAGCGCTGAACGACTGGGCCGCCGAGCACCAGCGCCAGCTGGGCGTGGCCGGTACCTCGGTGGTACAGGTGGGCGTGCGCGTGCTGATCGGCATGGTGCTGGGCGCGATGATCGCGCTGTATGACGAACTGCCGCTACCGAAGATGGGGCCGCTGGCGCAGGAACTGATCGGCCGCACCAGCCGCCTGGCTACTGCGTTCCGCCAGGTGGTGTTCGCGCAGGTGAAGATCTCGCTGCTCAACACCGTGTTCACCGCGATTTTCCTGCTGGGTGTGCTGCCCTTGTTCGGCGTGCACCTGCCGTTGTCGAAGACGCTGGTGCTGATCACCTTCATCGCCGGCCTGCTGCCGGTGGTGGGCAACATCATCTCCAACACCATCATCACCATCGTCGCGTTGTCGGTGTCGTTCTACGTGGCGGTGGCGGCGCTGCTGTACCTGATCGTCATCCACAAGCTGGAATATTTCCTCAACGCGCGCATCGTCGGCGGCGAGATCCAGGCGCGCGCCTGGGAACTGCTGCTGGCCATGCTGGTGATGGAGGCGGCGTTCGGCCTGCCGGGGCTGGTGGCCGCGCCGGTGTTCTACGCCTATGTGAAGCGGGAACTGGTGGATCAACGCTGGATCTGACCCCGCTGACGTGACGGATTTGTTTCGGCGAGCCGGGTGCCGCCTCTTGGCGGCACGTTCGCGATGACTGGGGTATACGCAGGGGCAGGGGCTGCATAGCGCTGGCTTGGCACTGCCGGGGCCGCTCAGTACAGTGATCCGCACGTCAGGGGAAAGTTGAATGGCCGGCAAGGTATCGCCCATCGGGTTGCGGACCTGGGTCTGGATCCTGGCGGGACTGTTCGTGGTCTGCACCCTGCCGCTGATGGTCATCGCCCTGGTCCAGGGCACGATGCGCTATGCCGCCGCCGAGGACAATCTGGTCAGCCTGCGCCAGCTGCGGCAGACGTTTGATCTGGCCAACCTGGTCTCCTCCGAACGTGGCCCGGCCAACAGCCTGCTGGGCGCGCGCGCGGACGACAGCACCGAGCAGGCGCGGCTGGCCATGCAGCTGGCCGTGGTGCGGCGGCGGGTCGACGCCGCCATGCTGCAGCTGGACACCGCGTTCAAGGCACATCCGGCGAGGTGGATGCACATGCGATGCTGGCCGATGCGCAACGCCGCCTGAAGTCGGCACGTGCCAGCGTGGACCGGGTAGCGGCGCAGCCGCAGGACGCACGCCGGGGCGAAGACGTGGAGCGCGCGATCAGCAGCATGTTCGCGGTGGTCGACCGCCTGCACCTGCTGACGTCCGCACAGATCAACGTGCTGGTCCGCGCCGACCGCGAGGCTGCGATTCCGGCGATGCAGGGCCAGGTGCTGATCGACCTGCGCGAGCACGGCGGGCGTTTGGCGTCCAACGTGATGGCGCCGGTGGCGGTGCCGGGTGCGTGGCGCAACGAGCAGGTGCGCGCGGCGCTGCAGACCGAGGGCCGCCTGCTGGAGCTGTGGCGGCTGGCCGGCAGCCACGAGGCGGTGTTCCGCAGTGACCCGGCGTTGTCCTGGCACTGGGACATGGCGCGGCGGCAGTTTTTCGGTGAATCGCTGCCGATGGTCGAGCAGTTGATCGAAGGCGGTCGTCGTGGTGTACCTCCGCCGTGGACCGCTGCCGAGTTCACCCGGCGCTATGTGCCGACGCTGCAGTCGCTGGAGGCGCTGCGCGATGGCTACCTGAGTGTGTCCATTGCCCGCTTCGAACATACCCGCAACCGCGCCGCCATGCGCCTGGCGGTACTGGTGGCGACGGTCGTGGGTACGCTGCTGGTGCTGGGCGTGGCCCTGCGCATTGCCCATGTGCAGATCCTGCGGCCCCTGCTGCAGGCGCAGCGGCAGGTGATCAGATCGCCTCCGACGCGCCGGGGCCGGAGCAGCACGTCACCCATCCGCTGGCGGAAATGCAGCGCCTGTTCGATGCGATCGAGGTCCTGCGCGAAACCTCGCGCGAACGCTCGGCGCTGACCAGCGAGCTGCGGCAGCTGGCGGGCACCGATGAACTGACCGGGCTGTTGAACCGCCGCGCGCTGGACCAACGGGTGCAGCAGCGCCATGCCGAGGGCGCAGCGGCGGCGGTGGTGATCCTGCTGGACGTGGACCGCTTCAAGTCGATCAATGATGGCCATGGGCATGATGCCGGCGACGAGGTGCTGGTGCAGGTCGCGCAGCTCCTGCAGCGCCACCTGCGCCGCAGCGACAGCATCGCCCGCTACGGTGGCGAAGAGTTCCTGGTGCTGCTGGCCGATGGCGATCTGGATGCCGGTCGTCGGCTGGCCGAATCGCTGCGGTTGGCGCTGCAGCAGCTGGACATCAGAGTGGGGGGCGGCACAGCGCCTGCGCGTGACCGCCAGCTTTGCGTGGCCGAGGGCGGTACCGACGCACTGGGCTGGCGCACCCTGCTGCGCGCGGCCGATGCGGCGATGTACCAGGCCAAGGCGCAGGGCCGTGACCGTGTACGGGTTGCCGGTGGGGGACGCGCCTCACGTTGACCGGTCACGTTCATCGCCGGCGCACGTGGCGCGCCCTACACTGGCGGCCCGATCGCTGCGGGAGCCCACCATGACCGTGCATCCCCTTGCCTTCGCCGCACTGCTTGCGGGCCTGCTGGCCGGCTGCGCCAGCCAAGCTGTGGTATCAACGCAGAGTACTCGCCCTCCCTCGATCGCGGCCGGCACGAGCCCGGTGCCTGCGTTCACCGGTGGCGGGGCAGGGTGGAGCATCGAGATCGCGTCCACCGGCAACGGCAACCACGATGCCAGCCTCAGCGCCGATGGCCGTACCCAAAAGGGTACGTTGCGCTATCTCGGGCAGCCGGCCGATGCGCCCAGTTCGCTGATCGTGCTCAATGGTGAGCTGGGCAGGCAGCCCGCCGTTGTCGAGATCAAGCGCGAGTCGTGCCGCAATGCCGAAGGTGTCGACACCCTGGCCAGCGTGCAGTAACGATGGAAGGGCAACCGCAGCGACGCGGTTGCGGCCACCTCGCGGTGTACTGAGCCGACCGGCAGCATGCTCGATATTCCCACCCTGCACACCGCGCGGCTGCGGCTGCGTCCGCAACAGCTGGATGACTTCGGCATCTATGCGGCGTTCCTTGCGTCGCCGCGCGCGCGCGGCATGGGCGGTCCATTCGATGAGGTTGCCGCGTGGGGCCAGTTCTGCCATGACCTGGCGAGCTGGCATCTGTTCGGCCATGGTGCGTTGATGATCGAACGGGCCGACACCGGTGCCTGCATCGGCCAGGTGGGTATCAACCATGGCCCGCTGTTTCCGGAGAAGGAACTGGGTTGGCTACTGTATGACGGCCACGAAGGGCAGGGCTTCGCCACTGAAGCGGCCGAGGCACTGCGCGACTGGGCCTTCGTGGTGGCACAGCTGCCGACGCTGGTCAGCTACATGGCGCCCGACAACCTGGCATCGCAGGCCGTTGCGCAGCGGCTGGGCGGCGTGCTCGACGCCCAGGCCGTGCGCAGTGATGCCGATGACCTGGTCTATCGTTACCTGCGCTGACGCCTAGCCGCCGGTGGCCGGTGCCTGCACGGGGCGGCCGAGCGCTTTGGCGACGCCCTCGCGCTTCTCGACCAGGAATTCCATCAGCGCGCGCACGCGGGGTGGCATCTGCTCACGCGATGGCACGTACAGGTAGAAGCCGGGGAACGGCGCGGACCATTCCGGCATCAACCGCAGCAGGCGCCCATCTGCCAGCATCGGCTGCAGTGACAGGTCGATGTGCTGCATCACGCCCAGTCCCTGCAGCGCGGCGCGGATCATGGCTTCGTCATCATTGGTGACATAGCGTCCGCGCGGTTCCACTTCAAAGTCGTGTCCATGCTGGCCGGGCGTGCTGAACCTCCCAGGCATAGACCGTGCCGCTGCCGGTCTGGCGGTAGCCCAGGCATTCATGCCCGGCCAGTTCGGCGGGGCGTGCTGGGCGTGCCATGCCGGGCCAGGTAGGCCGGCGAGGCGACCACCACCATTTCCAGCATCGGCGTCACCGGCACGGCGATCATGCCTTCGGCCAGCCGTTCCCCCAGCCGGATGCCGGCGTCGCAGCCTTCGGCGACGATGCTGGACAGGCCATCGTCCATCACCAGCTCCACGCGCAGCTCGGGGTAGCGCGCGAAGAATTCAGGCAGGTGTGGTTCGATCAGCGTCTTGGCGGTCAGGCGTGCGGTGTTGATGCGCAGCAGGCCGGAGGGGGCGTCATGGCTGGCGCGCAGGTCGCGTACTGCGCTGTCGATGATGCTCAGCGATGGCTGCACTGCGTCGAACAGGCGCTGGCCTTCCTCGGTCAGCGACATCTCGCGGGTGGTCCGGTGCAGAAGGCGCACGCCCAGTTGCTTCTCCAGCGTCTTCAGGCTCTGCGACAGCGCGGGGCGCGAGACCCCCATCTCTTCGGCCGCCTTGGTGAAGCTGCGATGGTGGGCAATGTGGGCAAACCAGGCCAGCTGCGGCAGCAGGGCCGGGTTGATCGCGGTGGGGGCACTCATGGGGGCTCGGTCGGGCGCCACGCCCGTCGCATTCTGGTAATCACAGCTTACTACTGTGGTTGAGATTGGCGTCTTTTCTGCTCCCAATCCCAGGTCTATCGTGCTTGCAACGGCGACACCGGTCGCCCTGCCGCAAACGAGGAGCCACCGCATGGAAACCGTCAAGATCCAGAACCCGGACATGGCCTGGCATATCGCTGCCGACCTGCACTTTCCGCCGGACTTCGACCCCAACCGGGCCTACCCCACGATCATCAGCATGCACCCGATCGGCAGCTGCAAGGAGCAGACGTCCGGCAACGTCTACGGTGAGGCGCTGGCCCGCGAGGGTTACGTGGTGATCGCCTACGACGCCAGCTTCCAGGGCGCCAGCGGGGGTGAACCGCGACGGATCGAAGACCCGACCCAGCGCGTGGAGGATGTACGCCGCGTGGTCGACTATCTGGTCACCCTGCCGTACGTGGACGCCGCACGCATCGGTGTGCTCGGCATCTGTGGTGGTGGTGGCTATGCGATCAACGCCACCATGACCGAGCGCCGCATCAAGGCGGTCACCAGCATCACCGGCGTCAACTTCGGCCGGCTCAGCCGCGAGGGCTTTGGCGGCTTCGATCCGATTGGTTCGCTGGAGGCCATCGCCGCACAGCGCACCGCCGAGATGCGTGGCGGCGAGGCACGCGTGGACCTGTTCCTGCCACCGTCGGTGGAGCAGGGGCGCGCTGCCGGCATCACCGATATCGACGTGCTGGAGGCCACGGACTACTACCGCACGCGCGGGCCGCAGCCCAACGGCGTGGTCAGCGCGCTGTTCTCGCATCGTGGTGCAGCGGTGGGCTGGGATGCCTTCCATCTGGCCGAAGTGCTGCTGACCCAGCCGCTGCTGGTGGTGATTGGTGACAAGCCGGGGGCGTTTGGTGCCTACCGCGATGGCCTGGAGATCCATGGCCGTGCGGCTTCGAAGCACAAGCAGCTGAAGGTGGTGGAGGGTGGGTCGCACTACGACCTGTATGACCAGCCGGAGCCGGTCCGGCAGGCACTGGCGGCGGTGATTCCGTTCTTCAGCCAGCATCTGTGAGCTGATGGCACTGGGGTGGTGCCGGCGGCGGGCCGGCACCTGCACGCCCTATGCGCCCGGGTAGCGGTTCGCGCCACGCCCGCGATTCAGCCTTTCGCGCAGGATGTGGTATATCGTTTATCGATAAATCCATCCCGGGGCGGCATGCCACCCCAATGCCGGAGGCCGCTTGACCGCTCGACCCGCCCGCGCCAGACCCGCGCGAGGCTTGTTCACCCTGGCCCAGGCCGCCGTGCAGGCCGTGCGCGCGATGTGCTGGCTGGGCATCCTGGCCGCACTGCTGGCCGTTCCCCTCGTCGCCCACGACCGCCGCTGGCTGCTCGACAACGTGCATGATGCCGCTGCCGCGGCCGCGCACGGCAACGATCTGTTCCTGCATTTCTGCCTGGGGCTGGGCGCCATCGTCGTGCTGCTGGTGCTGTGCCTGGTGTTCCTGCGTCATCTGCTGCGGCTGCTGGACTCGGCGGCGCGCGAGCAGCCGTTCACCCACACCAATGCACAGCGCCTGCAGCGCATGGCGTGGTTGATGCTGGCGATGGAGCTGCTGTCGATCCTGATCGGTGCCTACGCGGCCTGGATGGGCCCGGACTTCACCTGGATGGAAGTCGGCGGTGGCATGTCGATCACCGGCCTGGTCGCGGTGCTGATGCTGTTCGTACTGGCACGCGTGTTTGCCGTAGGCGCGGCGATGCGCGATGACCTGGACGGTCTGGTCTGATGGGCACGCGCTGATGGCGATCGTCATCACCCTCGACCGCATGCTGCAGGAACGGGGCATGACCCTGTCCGAGCTGGCCGGGCGCATCGACATCACCCTGGCGAACCTGTCGATCCTGAAGACCGGCAAGGCACGCGCCATCCGCTTTTCCACCCTCGATGCGATCTGCCGCGAGCTGCAGTGCACGCCCGGCGACCTGCTCGGTCATGACCCGGCGCAGGCGCAGGATGCCGATTGAATGACTGCTTTTCTCCCTTACCTACTGACGAAACGGACCTGAAATGGAATGGTTGGCTGACCCCTCGATATGGATGGGCCTTGCAACCCTGGTCGTGCTGGAGATCATTCTCGGCATCGACAACCTGGTGTTCATCGCGATCCTGGCTGACAAGCTGCCGCCGCACCAGCGCGACCGCGCACGGGTGATCGGCCTCACCCTGGCCCTGTTGATGCGGCTGGTGCTGCTGGCGGCGCTGGCCTGGATCATGAAGCTGACCGAGCCGCTGCTTACGCTGTTCGATCACAGCTTCTCCGGGCGTGACCTGATCCTGCTGGGCGGTGGCCTGTTCCTGCTGTTCAAGGGCACGATGGAACTGCACGAACGGCTGGAAGGCCGCGAGCACCACGAGGATGGAAAGAAGGTCTATGCCAGCTTCGCGATGGTGGTGGCGCAGATCGTGGTGCTCGACGCAGTGTTCTCGCTGGACTCGGTGATCACCGCGGTCGGCATGGTCGACAACCTCGGCGTGATGTATGCCGCGGTGACCATCGCGATGGCGCTGATGCTGGTGGCCAGCAAGCCGCTGACCCGTTTCGTCAACAAGCATCCCACGGTGGTGGTGCTGTGCCTGGGCTTCCTGCTGATGATCGGCTTCAGCCTGGTGGCCGAGGGCCTGGGCTACAAGATCCCGAAGGGCTACCTGTACGCGGCCATTGCCTTCTCGATCCTGGTCGAAGCGTTCAACCAGTGGGTGCGTTTCAACCGCGAGCGCAACGAGCGGCGCCAGCCGTTCCGCCAGCGCACCGCCGACGCCGTGCTGCGGATGCTGGGGGCGCGTCCGGCCAACGGACACGACGACGAAAGCGAGGACGCACACGCCGATGCCGAAGAGCGGCTGCAGCCGGCCGAGCACGAGATGATCCGCAGCGTGCTGGGGCTGGCCGATCGACCGGTGTCGAGCGTGATGACTGTGCGTGCCGACGTGCAGTGGATCGACGTGGCACGCGGGCAGGACGATGTGGTGGCGCGCCTGGTGGCCTCGCCGCATACCCGCCTGCTGGTCGGCGACGGCGATCTGGACAGCCTGCGTGGCGTGGTGCAGAGCCGCGACCTGCTGGCCGACCTGCTGCAGGGCAGGCCGTTGCAGCTGGAAGGCAACCTGCGCGAGCCGCAGTACGTGCTGTCCAGTGCCAGTGCGCTGCAGGCGCTGGAGCTGATCCGCCAGCACCCGGTGCCGCTGGCGGTGGCGGTGGACGAGTACGGCAGCGTGGAAGGCCTGGTGACTGCCAACGACCTGCTGGCCGCGATTGCCGGTGACCTGGTGGATACCCAGGACGAGCGCTATGGCGTGGTCGCGCAGGGCGAAGGCCAGTGGGAGGCCGACGGTGCGCTGACCCTGGATGACCTGCAGCGCCTGGCGGGCGTCTCGCTGCCGCGCAGTGCCGACTACATGACCATCTCCGGGCTGGTGCTGGAGCGGTTGGGCCGCCTGCCGGACATCGGCGACGCGGTGGAGATCGCCGACGTGCGCATCACCGTACTGGCGATGGAGAAGCGCCGCATCGCCCGCCTGCGGGTGGAGCGCCTGCCCGGGGCGTGATGCTGCCTCTACCCAATGACACGCGGGCCCGTCACCATGGCGGGCCCGCTTTTCTTCCTGGATGGTTGCAGTGCTGAGTACGATCGGTTTGTTGATGGGCCTGTACGTGGCCTGGCGCCTGTTCTGGCCGCTGCGCCTGCCCGCCGCATTGAAGGTCGTGCTGTCGCTGCTGCTGGTGGCTGTGGCCGTGCAGCTGCGCATCGTCGCCACCTTCTGGGGCACGATGGCCTCGCCGGAGATACCGAAGCTGGCGATCGCCACGCTGGCCACCGGCTCGACGGCGGTGCTGCTGCTTGCGCTGGTGATGCTGGTGCTGGACGCAGGACTGCTGCTGTCGCGCCTGCTCCGCCGGCCGCGCGCGATATCGGCATTGCGCGCCCCCAGGCTGCGTCCCGTGGCCGCTGTGCTGGCGCTGCTGGTCAGCGGCTATGGCGTCAGCCAGGGCATGGCGGTGCCCAAGCCGCGGCAGATCGACGTGGCGATCAAGGATCTGCCGGCTGCGTTCGACGGCTACCGCGTGCTGCAGCTGACCGACATCCATGCCAGCCGCCTGCTGACCGGCGACTGGGTGCGCAGGGTGGTGGAGCAGAGCAATGCGCTGAAGCCGGACCTGATCGTGATCACCGGCGACCTGATCGATGGCAGCGTCGAGGCCCGTCGCGACGACGCACACCCGCTGGCCGACCTGCATGCGCCGGACGGCGTCATCGCGATCACCGGCAACCACGAGTACTACGCGCAGTACCAGGACTGGATGCAGGCGTTCCGCGCGCTGCACATGCAGGTGCTGGAAAACAGCCATCTGCAGGTGCGTCGTGGTGAGGCCGCGTTGACCATCGCTGGTGTCACCGACCCGGTGGCGGCACGCTATGGACTGCCGTTGCCGGATCTGGACGCTGCGCTGGCCGGGGCCGATCCGTCCGCGCCGGTGATCCTGCTCGACCATCGCCCGGGCAATGCGCGCGAGGCCGCCGCGCGCGGCGTCACGCTGCAGCTGTCCGGGCATACCCACGGCGGCCAGATCATCGGTATGGACCAGCTGGTGAAGCGCGCCAATGGCGGCTATGTCTCCGGCCGCTACGAAGTGGACGGCATGACCCTGTACGTGAGCAACGGTGCCGGCCTGTGGGCCGGGTTCCCTGCGCGCATCGGCGTGCCGTCCGAAATCACCCTGCTGACCTTGCGCCGCGCGCCGTGATGCTGCGCACGCCTTCATGGAGGAAGGAGCCATGGCGCATCCCCGCGCTCCGATGGAACGCCTGATCCGCGCCAATGCCGATGAGATAAACCGGCTTCGCCAGGTGATCCGCGATACCGCAGGTACGCGTTGGCGTGGGCCGGAGCAGCGGGCGCTGCACGCTGCGGCCTGCGCCGAGTATCAACTGCGCTACGATCAGCTTGCCTTTCCGGGCGGCTATGACCAGGCGTTGAAACTGCTGGCCGAGCATGACCCCGGCACGCTGGATGTAGTGCTTACTTTCCTCGAAGTGCGGCCCTACTTCTTCCGGTCCGGCTACATGTGGAAGACGTTGTTGAAGCGCGTGCAGCGGGTGTCGATGGGCGTGAAGCAGCAGGCGCGGATGCAGAGAATCCTCGATGCCTACGGCGCTTACCGGGTGGGAAGCCTGCACTCCCGTTAGCTCCAGGTCATCCAGCAAGATCGCCTTGCATCCAGCATTCATACTGGCCCCGGATCAGAGATCATCTGCACGGGATTCTCAAACAGGGAAAGGCACCATGCAGGAAGCACATCACTCACGCGGGTGGCCACGCTACGTCGCACTGCTGGTCGGTGCACTGCTGCTGACCGGTTGCCAGCGCACACCGGAGGTGCCCGGCGAAGCACCCGCGGCTGACGCGCCGGTTGCCGCGCCAGTGGCCAGCACCGACCTCTCCCCGCTGCTCGATGCCCTGCCGACGTGTGCGCTGGAGGGCTGGTACATCGATCAACAGACTGATCGCCCGGCCCACCCCTGGTTGGCCGCGAATGCGCCAACGCCCTGCCGGCAGGACGCGGAGAACGAGATCGCCACGTTCTGCGTACAGGGCCAGTGGAAGGGGCTGCCGGTGGATGAGGTGATCCTGCCGACAATGACGTTCGTGTCGTTCCGTGGGGCGAAGATCGGCCTGCCGCTGGAGAAGGCGCGTTCCGTTGTCCGCCAGCGCATCGGGCGGGATTTTCCGGGCGGTGCCGCCTACGAAGAAGGGCGCGAGCCGAAACTGATGGCCGACCCCGAGGATGCGCAGCGTTCGTGGCTGCTGTGCAGCACGCCGGAACCGGGGCACGACGTGGACAGTGAGGGAAGCGTCCGCTATGCCGGCATGAACCTGCCCTACGACCACGACGGTTGCAGCTACCGCTACAGCCCGGTCGACTTCTGCGATGCGCGGCATCGCGCGCGCATCGAGGATGCGCTGCAGAACCAGAAGCCCAATTTCAACCAGCACTATCTGCTGGTGCAGATCGATGATCGCCCTGAGTACTTCCAGCGCACGGTGGTGCTGGTCGATACCCGCACCGGCGAGGCAACACCGCTGCCGATCGATGCCTTCACCGGAGCAGCGGGGAAGGGCGGAGAGGCTACCGGCTACGGGACTCTGGAGACGGGCGTGGACCAGCCGCAGTTCTGCCTCGATGGCGCGTTGCTGGTCTATCGCGTGTTCGAGAAGGCCGCTTCTGCTTCGGCTTTGACGGTGAACGCTTCACCGGCCATGAAACCCAGTACATGCAGGCAGCCGCATCTCCCTGACCGGAACAGGGTTGCCAAACCAGCGATCGCCGCCTGGCGTCACTGGTCGGCGCTGGCCGTCACTGATCGCGGTCACCGCCTCCATGCCCGTGGCAACGACCAACAATGGCGAACTCCCTGAAGGAAGCGCTGCCATGTCCTTGCCTGCTGTTGCCATCACCACACGCCGGGCGCTGCGCGACGGGCAGGTGCCCGCATCGCGCCGCCAGCGCCTGCTGCGTATCGGAGCCCTGGCCTGGTTGGGCAGTGCCGCACTCGGGCAGCTGCTGTTCGCCGTCTACATCGTGGGCTTCTACGGACGCAGCACGCTGGCGGGCCAGCCACTGCGCTGGAACGAGGTGATGCCGCACGGTTACGTCGCCGGGGCGACCACCTTCAACGCCGTGCTGGCGCTGCACCTGCTGCTGGCAGCGGGCATCGTGCTGGGGGGATGGTTTGCAGTTGTGGCCAGCGCTGCGGCGCTGGGCACCGGCCGTGCACCGCTGGAACGGCCGGCTCTACGTGTTGGCCGCGGTACTGCTGGCACTGGGTGGCCTGGCGATGGTGTGGGTCCGCGGTGGCGCTGCCGGTGATGTTTCGCAGCATCTGGGCACCTCGCTCAATGCCCTGCTGATCCTGTGGTTCGCGGTGGCCACGTGGTGGCGCGCACGCCAGCAACGTCTGGTGAGCACCGCGCATGGGCGCTGCGCCTGTTCCTGGCGGTGGGGGGCGTGTGGTTCTTCCGCATCGGCCTGATGCTGTGGCTGCTGCTCAACCAGGGGGCCGGCGGGTTTCGATCCGGAAACCTTCACCGGCCCCGCGTTGACCGTGCTGGCGTTTGCACAGACCCTTCTGCCCCTGGCAGTGCTGGAACTGTATCTGCGTGCCCAACGCCCTGCAGGGGCGGCGCATGCCTGGCGGGTCGGCGTGGTCCTGCTGGTTGCGGCTGTGGCCACCCTGGCCGGCAGCCTCGCCGCGGCGGCACTGATGTGGTGGCCACCGCTTGCGGCCGGCTGACGTGGGTGCACGGCAAGGCGCTATGCTGCCGGCCATGTCCGATGTGCTGTCGCCACCGCCGGTTTCGCTGCTGCGCCGAACGCTGTGGTGCGCAGGCATCTCGCTCGCGCTCGGCGCGCTGCTGGTCATCGACTGGCATCCGTGGTGGACGGTGCTGCCGCGCGCGCTGGCATTGGGCCTGGCGGCGATGCTGGTGTTCACCGTGCTGGAGCGCTGGCCCGGATCGCTGCCGCGGTGGCTGTCACGCTGGGTCGTGCAGATCCTCGCGGTGCGGCGGTGATTCCGCTGGGAACCCTGATGATCTATCTTGCGGGCACCGACGCGGGCGCACCGCCATTCTGGCAGGACGCAGATCGCTGGACCGGGTTCCTGACCCTCAACGTGGTTGGCCTGCTGGTTGCACCGTGGGTGGCGCTGGCGGCACTGGTGAGGCACAAGGACGCACTGGCAAGGCACCAGGCCCTGGCCTTCGCGCTGGAACGCAGCGAGCTGGAGCGGCAGGCGCTGGAAGCTCGCGTGCAGCTGCTGCAACGGCAGGTTGCGCCGCATTTCCTGTTCAACACCCTGGCCAACCTGCAGGCGCTGGTGGACAGCGGTTCACCGCAGGCATCGGGTGGTGATGCGCCATCTGGTGGCCTACCTGCGCGGCAGCGTGCCACCGCCCTGCAGCAGCCGGTGGTACGGATGGAGGACGAGATCGCATTGGTAAGCGCCTATCTGGAACTGATGCATATGCGGATGCCGGATCGGCTGCGGTTCCGCCTGGATGTTGCCGAGCAGGTGCGCGCGCTGGGTTGCCCGGGCCTGTCCGTGCTGACCCTGGTGGAGAACGCGATCCGCCATGGCATCGACCCCTGCGAAGACGGTGGCGAGGTGGTGGTGCAGGTGCGGCCGCGACGGGGCGTGTTGCGAGGTCTGTGTGGTTTGACGACGGCCGAGGCCTGTCAGCTGTGGCGCCGGGCCTGGGCACCGGCCTGCAGACACTGCGCCAGCGGCTGCGCTGCTGTATGGCGATGCCGCGTCCCTGCAGTTGCAGGCGGGCCCAGAGCGCGGCGCGATCGCGCGCCTGCGGTTGCCGGCGCGGGAGCTGCCCGCGTGATCGCCAACGCACTGATTGCCGACGACGAACCGTTGCTGCGGCAGGCGCTGGCCGCACAGCTGGCGCAGGCTTGGCCGCAGCTGCAGGTGGTGGCGCAGGCGCGTAATGGGCGCGAGGCGCTGCAGGCCTTCGAAACCCTGCAGCCACAGGTCTGCTTCCTCGACATCCACATGCCCGGCCTGTCCGGCATCGACGTCGCCGCACGCATCGCGCGGCGCGCGCAGGTGGTGTTCGTCACCGCCTACGACGCGTATGCGGTGCAGGCATTCGCGCAGGGCGCGCTGGATTACCTGGTGAAGCCGGTGGATGCACAGCGCCTGCACGTACGGTGCAACGGCTGCAGCAGCGCCTGCAGCAACCTCCGCCCCTGCAGGACCTGCAGAAGCAGCTGCAGCAGCTGGCCGAACGCCTGTCGCTGCCGGCGCCGACGCCGCTGCGCTGGCTGCACGCGCAGGTTGGCAACGTGCTGCGGGTGATTCCCTGCAGCGCGGTGGATTTCCTGCGCGCCGACAGCTAGTACACCCAGGTCGGCTGGCGCGACGACGACGGTCGTCCCGGCGAGGCGGTGATCACGCTGCCGTTGAAGGAGCTGGTGCAACAGCTGGATCCGGACAGCTTCGTGCAGGTGCACCGCTCGGCGGTGGTCAACCGGCACGCGGTTGAAGCTGCTGGTGCGCGGTGACAACGAGACCGCCCAGCTGTACCTGCGCGGTCGTGATGACGTACTGCCGGTCAGCCGCCGCTATCTGGGTGCGTTCCGCGCCATGTAGGCCGGTCCTGACCCGCGTTTCACCCGGCGCATGACACCCTCCGCCCATGAATGAAATGACCGTGGCGCGGCAGCGCTCGATGTGGGTGGGCCGGCCTGTCCACGGTGGTGGAGTGGTACGACTTCACCTGTACCTGTACTTCGCCACGGTGCTGTCGCGGGTGTTCTTTGGCGGTGGCGAGCAGGCGATGCTGGTCACCCTGGCCGGCTTCGCGGTGTCCTACCTGATGCGTCCGCTCGGCGCGCTGTGCTTTTGGCCACCTGGGTGACCGGCTGGGCCGGCGCTGGATGCTGCTGGCCTCGATGGCGCTGATGGCGGCAGCGATGCTGGCCACCGCCCTGCTGCCGACCGCCGCAACGGCGGGCACCACCGCCGGCGTGCTGCTGCTGGTGCTGCGCTGCGTGATGGCGTTCTCGGTGGGCGGTGAATACACCGGGTGTGGTCGCGTATCTGCTGGAAAGCGCGCCGGAACGGCGACGCGGCCTGGTGACCTCGCTGGCCTCTGCCGCCAGTGAAGTGGGTGCGCTGCTGGCGGTGGCGATCTCGGCAGCGACGGTGGCGCTGCTGGCACCTGCGCAGCTGGACAGCTGGGGTTGGCGCATTCCGTTCTTCGTCGGCGCGGCGCTGGCGCTGGTGATCCTCGTCGCGCGCTCGGGCATGCACGAGTCGCCCGAGTTCGAGCGCCAGCGCCGCGAGGGCAGTATTCCGGCCACGCCGTTGCGGCACGTGCTGCGCCATCATCCGCGGGCGGTGGCGCGTACCTTCGCGATCTCCGCACTGGGCTCGATCACCTACTACGTGGGCATCACCTATGTGCCGGCCTTCCTGCATGCACAGGGCCACGATGAAGGCGACGCGCTGTGGTTGTCGACGATTGCGGCAGTGGCGGTGATCGCGATCACGCCGCTGTGCGGCGCACTGTCCGACCGTGTCGGGCGACGGCCGATGCTGTTGGGCCTGACTGTGCTGGCGGCGCTGCTGCCGCTGTCGCTGTTCGCGTGGCTGGCGGAGGCAACGGCATGGGGCATCGCGCTGGCGGCGGTCCTGCTGGCCTGCGTGGCGGTGGCGTCAGCGCGGTGGCGGCCCCGGCCACGGCCGAGCAGTTCCCCGGCGAAGGCCGGGGTCAGCGGGCTGGCGCTGGGGGTGACCATGGCTACGGCCGTGTTCGGCGGTGCGACACCGTGGTTGGCGCAATGGTGGGTGCAACGCAGCGGCTGGGCGCAGCGCCGGGCGCGATGATCGCGTTGGTGGCGGTGCTGGTGCTCCCGGTGCTGTGGACCCTGCCCGAGACGGTCCCGGCAGGGCCAGGCGTTAGCCGATCAGACCTTCAGGGTCTGCTCGATGTCGGCCAGTACGGCGGCCGCATCCACGCCGATGGCGACAGACTGCAGCACGTGGCCATCCCATACGCTGGGGCCGAAGCCCATGCCTTCCGGCTTGGGAATGGTCATGCCGCGGGCGACGCCGTCGGTGGCCACGCGCCACGCTTGGCGCGCTCGAACTGGAACAGTTCCGGGCGGGTCAGCGCGATGCAGGCGCAGCAGTCGTGCACGACCATGCCCTTGTGCCCGGCCTGCAGGTAGAAGTCCACGTAGTCCTGCGACAGCGCGCGCACCAGCTCGGCATCGGCACCGCCGATCCCGGCCAGCGTGTCCAGGCCGTCACGGTCCATTTCCACGCGGGTGGTCACGTCCAGCCCGATCGCGGTAACCGGCCATATCGGTGGTGAACACCACGTCGGCCGCTTCGGCATCGCCCCAGATGTTCGCTCGGCGGCCGGGGTGATGTTGCCGTTGACGTGGAAGGCACCGCCCATGAGGACCACTCACGCACCAGGCCGGCGATGTCCGGGGCCTGCTGCAGGGCCAGCGCCAGGTTGGTCATGCGGCCCACGGCAACTAGGGTCACTTCGCCCGGGTGGGCGCGGACCAGGTCGATGATCAGCTGCGCGGCCGGGCGCGCGTCGGCGGCTACGTCCAGTTGCGCCGGCACCGGGTGGTTGCCCAGGCCGTTGTGGCCGTGGATGTGCACCGGCCACGCTTCCGGAGTGGCTTCCGGCTGCAGCGGGCCTGCCGCGCCGCGCGCGACCGGGGCGGCAAAGCCCCAGGTCTGCTTCAGTACAGCGCATTGTGCGTGGTCGATTCAACCGAGGCGTTGCCGAAGGTGGTGGTGACGCCGATCAGGTCGATCTGCGGGTGCTTGTGCAGGTACAGCAGGGCCAGGGCGGTCGTCGACGCCCGGGTCGGTATCGAAAATGACTTTCAGCATGTTGTTGTTCTTCTCTTCCGTGTGGTGCGGGGGGGCGCCGGCGGCCACGGGGCAGGCCGGCGCGCCCTACATTGTCCCATCTTCATGACAGGCAGGGCCAATGCCGGGCGGGGCGGCATAATGCGGCCAGTCCAGGCACGGAACCGCCGCATGCTGATCCTCGCCCTTCTGCTGGTCCTGCTGGTGCTGGGCCTGAATCTGGTCGCCACGGTGCTCATTGTCCGGCGCGACGGCCTGTCGGCAGGCGGCCGTACGGTGCAGCTGTTGCTGGTCTGGCTGCTGCCGCTGGTCGGCGCGATCCTGTGCATGGCGGTGGCCACCGCCGATGGCTCCGGCAGCCGGGGCGATAACGGCCTCGGGCGGCGCCTACGACTACTCGGGAGGCCATTCCAGTGACAACCACAGCCATCACGGCCACAGCAGCTCCGACTGCAGCGGTGATGGTGGTGGCAGTGACGGCGGCAGCTGCGGCGATTGAGGCCTCTGTAGAGTCGAGCCATGCTCGACTGCCCTTCGTTCCAACGCCGCGATGCCTGATCGAAAAGCAGGTCGAGCATGGCTCGACTCTACAAAGGCGACGACAGCCCGCTCAGCCGCCGCCTGCGGTCGGCAACGGCGCCGGCACGTTCAGCAGCCCGCCCGCTGCCACATAGGCAGCCAATGCCTGGCCCTGGCTCAGCAGATGGCGCTCCATGGTGCGTTCAGCGGCCTGCGCGTCGCGGCGGCGGAAGCACTCCATCAGTTCGCGGTGTTCGGCCAGCGACTGCGCGGTACGGCCCGGGGTCAGCAGCTGGCGGCCGCGATGCATCTTCAGGATGCGGTGCAGGTCATGGGTGATGCGGATCAGCCACGGGTTGCGGCGTAGTGCTGCACGGTTTCGTGGATCAGGTAGTTTGTTGCGGTAGTACTCGGCGATGTTGCCCTCGGCCGCCGCCGCTTCCATCGCCGCGTGCAACGCTTCCAGCTGCTGCACGCCGGCATCGTCGATATGCCTGACAGCTTCATGCGCGCAGCGACCTTCCAGCATCGCCATCACCGGGAACAGCTGGTTGAGGTCTTCCAGCGTGAGCCGGGTGACCCGCGCGCCACGCCCGGCATCGATCTGCACCAGGCCCTCGGCGGCCAGCAGCTTCAGCGCTTCGCGCAGCGGGGTGCGGCTGATGCCCAGTTCCTCGCACAGCGCGGGCTCGTCGATCCACTCACCCGGCGGCAAGCCGGTAATCGTAGATACGCTCGCGCACATGCTCGGCACCTCTTCATACAGAGGGGCGCGCTTCTTCGGGGACCGTGGAGCAGGGGCAATGGCCATGGTGGAAGTGTACCGCCAGGTAGTGCCGGCCGCTGGCCGCAACCCATGATTGCGGGATGGCTTCATGGGATTGCCGGCCAGCGGCCGGCACTACCGTTGAGTGGTTACATCCAGCCCGGCACCACGAATACCAGCCAGGCAAGCAGCGGCCCCAATGCCACCACCAGGCCGCTGTAGACCAGGAAGCGGCGGAACAGGGTCTCGCGTTCTTCCTTGGCGGCCGACGCCACCACCAGTGCGCCATTGGTCGAGAACGGGCTGACATCGACGATGGTGGATGACACCGCCAGCGCACAGATCACGCCGGCCGCGCTGAGGTGGCCCTGCATCAGGAACGGCACGCCAGCGGGATGGTGGCGCCCAGCACGGCGGCCGACGAGGCGAATGCGGAGACGATGCCACCGACGTAGCAGACCAGCAGTGCACCGAGCAGCGGGATGCCGATATCGGATACACCCATTGCCGATGAAGTCCACCGCACCGGCATGTTCCAGTACGCCGATATAGGTCACCACGCCGCAGATCAGCAGCACGGTGGACAGCTGATGCCATCGACCGCCCCTTTCTGGCTCTGCGGCGACAGCAGCGCCAACGCCACCGCCACGGTGATCGAGACCAGGCCGACGTTGAGGTTGTAGATCAGCGCGGGCCACGCCCAGGCCCAGCAGGCGATCAGGGTGAACAGCCGCTCGCGGGTCAGGTTCACCGCATCCAGTGCCACCGGATCATTGGACAGGGTGCCCCCCCCGGCGGCAACCAGCGCACCATGGCCTTCGATCGCGAACTGGCGCGACGATGCCTGCGGGCCACCGGCCATCGCCAGCTCGGCATTGCCGACCGTTCCCGCTGCGGTGATCGAGCCGCGGCGCAGCAGGGCGATGCCACCGAAGGCGAAGAAGCAGATCGTCGCCATCATCAGGTTGAAGCCCAGGCTGGTCAGGAACACCGCCATCTCGGTTACTTCCAGCCCGGCTTTCTGCACCACGCCATTGGTGATGCTGCCGTACACGCTGATCGGCGAGAAGCCGCCCGCCTGCGCACCATGGATGACCAGCAGGCCCATCATCAGCGGATTGATGTTGTACTGCTGGCAAAGCGCAGGGCGACCGGGCCGATGATGGCGACCGCGGCGGGGCCCAGCGCACCGAACGCGGGTGAGCACCGCGGTGATCACGAACATCACCCACGGAATGGCCACGATATGGCCGCGCACCGCTTTCACTGCCCAGTGCACCAGCAGGTCGATGGTGCCGTTCTTCTGCGCGATGGCGAACAGATAGGTGATGCCGACCAGGGTCAGGAACAGATCGCCTGGGAAGCCGGCCAGGACTTCCTTGCCTCCCATGTCGACCCATAGCCCGCCGATGATGAAGGCCAGCGCGAAAGCGACGGCGCCCATGTTGATCGGCATTGCCGTGGCGACGATGAACATGATCACCAGGCCGATGATCGTTGCGATTTGTGGACTCATGCGCCCTCCCAGACACGTGACTCACGTACAGCGCGGATGGAGACCCGCCATCCCGGGGTAAGGCGACGTACGGCGTGTTGCGTGATACGTACTGCTCGAACCCGTTACTGCAGCCGCTCCAGCGCACTGCGGACCCACGCCGCGGCACCCTCAAGGCTCTGGAACTCTTCCACCGCGCGCACTTCGCAGCACGGATAGGACGGCGCGACCATGCGCGCCAGCGCGCTGCCGGGCCCAGCTGCAGGAACACCCGTGCGCCGCGCTCGAAGGCCTGGCGCATCACCTGCGCCACTCGATGGTCTGTGCCAGCTGCGCCGACAGCGTGTGCACCACGGCGGCGCCATCACGCACCGGGCGGGCATCGACGCCGGCCAGCAGGGGCAGCCGCGGCGCATGCACCGGCGCGGCCCGCAGCGCTGCGGCAAACGGTGCTTCCCGCACCGGCCAGCAGCGGCGTGTGTGCGGGCACATGGACCGGCAATGGACGGATTTCCGCGCCGCAGGCCTGCGCGTCTGCCGCCAACGCGTGCAGCGACGGCTGTGCCCGCCCACGATGAAGTGGTCATGGCCATTGGCGATGGCGATGAAGGCGCCATGCGTGTCGCACAACCGCTGCGTGGCATCGCGGTCCAGCCCCAGCACTGCCTGCAGCCCGGCATCGCGGGGGCTGGCGGCGTCCATCAGGCGCGCGCGCTGCGCAGACAGTGCCAGGCAGGTGGTGGTGTCGAAGCTGCCGGCGATGGCGTGCGCGGCGAGCTCGCCGATGCTGTAGCCGGCGATCACCGTCGGCGTCGGCAACACCTCGCGCAGGCCCTGCCAGTGCGCCAGGCTGGCTGCGCACAGCAGGGGCTGCGCCTGCACATTGTCGAAACGGTCGTCGGCCGCCGCAGCGGCGAACACATCGCGGCCCAGCAGTTCGCCGATGGCATCGAGCAGCGGCTGTGCGGCGGCAAGGCCGCGCACGCGATCGAACATCGCCGGATGCTGTGCGCCTTGTCCGGGACAGAGCAGGGCCAGGCTCATTGAGCCCTCTGATGCAACAGGAACACGCTGCAGGCGAGCAGGTCGGCGCTGCCGCCGGGGCTCAAGCGACGCACGACGAAGGCATCGGGCGATCTGTCGCAGGCGCGGCCGCCAATCGTGCGCGAAGGCGCCGCCGTCGGGCCAGGAAACGGTGGGCCTGCTGCCGTGCCCAGCGCAGGCCTTCAGCGCCTCCGCGATGCAGCAGGTTGAGGTCTTCGGTGTGTGCGACCAGCTGCATCAGCGTGTGGCACATCGCGGCTTCGCGTGACAGGCCATTGGCCAGCGCGTGGCGCAGGGTGGGCAACGCACCTCGCGCAGCAGCGGATAGCCTGCAGCGGCGGTGTTCGCGCACGCCGGGCACGTTGTGCCGGACGCGCGCACGTTGGCCTGGGCTGCCTGCATCCAGCGGGGCATGTGCGAAGTGCCCGCCCAGCGACGTACCTCCAGGCAGGACCCGCTCACCGCTGGTGGCATGGCCCAGGCGGGAACGGCAGGCAGCGGCGGCCGCGACCAGCAGACCGAGGCTGAAGATCGCGCCACGATGGGTATTGATGCCGGCGGTCGCGCGCAGCATCGCCGCTTCGGCGGCGATGCCACATCGGCGCAGGGCATCGAAGTCCGCCCCGGCTGCACCGAGGTGGGCCACGGCAGCGAAATAGTGGCGCAGCGCGAACAGACTGCGCAGGAATGTGCCGGCGTCCATGTCGTGATGGCTGCCGCTGTCGAATGGCGTGACCAGCCCGGGCTTGGGGCGCCAGCGCCAGTTCGGCGTGCAGGCTGGCGACGGCCAGGCGCCCCAGGCGCGCGCTGTCCGCGGCAGCTGCCGGCCGGACCGTCGGCTGCGCGACGGCGCTCATGCGGTCACCCCGGCGGGGGCGAACACGGACTAGCGCGCAGTTCCAGGGCGGCGCCGTCGTGGCGCTTGACCAGCACTTCGCGGCTGCGTCCCGCGTACTCCCGCCAGTTCACGGCGGCATCGCCGGCCAGGCACAGTTCGCCATCGACCCGGCGGCCGTGTTCGGTTTCCCAGGCCTGCAGCCGTGCAACCAGGGCATCGGCCTGTGCGCTGCTGTTGATCTGCCACAGCAGATCGATGTCCGAACGCGCGTGCACATAGTGCAGGCCGGTCAGGTGCTGCCACGCGAAGGCACCGAATACATGCGCCGCAGCGATGCCGTGCAGTGCCTGCAGGGGGCGTTGCCAGTCCTGCGCAACGTTGCCTTCCAGCACCGTATGAAGTGATGGTGGCGGTGCGCTGCGCAGCACATCGCGTGCCGGCACGCGCAGGGCCAGGCGCAGTTTGCCCTCGGCCGGCGGCAGCGGTACGCCCAGGCGCAGCCGGGGATCGGCATCGTCGGCGGCACGCGGGCGACGATGGCCGGCAGGCCCTGCGCGAACCAGTTGGCCAAGCGCGGCTCATGCGGGGCGATGTCGGCCTGCCAGGCCGCGTGTGCCGACAGCCAGACCAGCGTATGCCGGGGCAAGCGCTCAGGCATCGCCCTGGCTCACCGCAGTGGCCACCGCTGCGGCCAGGCGACCGTCCGCCACGTTCGGCACCCCGCACGGCGCGGCGGTCGCCATCGGTGGGCGTACGCAGCGCCTGCAAGCAGGTGTGCGGCCAGGTCGCCGCTCCAGATCGAATCCACCGCGCCCATCGCCACGTAGTTCTCCACGCCCGGCGCGAATACCGGCGAGCTCTGGCTGAGTGCCTGCAGCTTCTCCAGCGGCTGCTTGGTCACCCGCGCCATCGCGCGCAGGTCCATCACCCGCACCTGCGCATCGGGCAGGGCATGGATGTGGTCGGCCATCAGGCCGAACGAGAGGAAGCCACCACTGACCGACTCACCGTAGACCAGGGTGACCAGGCGGGCGCCACGGCGGCGGGCCAGATCCCAGCGTCTGCGCCAGGTGCGCGAAACAGCCGTTGATGCCGAGCAGTTCGTCGCGGCGTGCCAGGCGCTGGCCGGCGGTGTCGACCAGCATCACGATCGGTCGATGGGGATGTGCGGCGGTGCTGGCCAGCACGGTTTCGGCCAGTGCCAGTGCGTGGTCCACGCCCACTTCGAGCTTGTCGGCGGTGCCGATCACGGTCACCTCGCCGTCGTCGGTGCTGGCGGTTCCGGTCAGCACCGAGTCCTCCACGGCAACGGCGTGGCCACGCGGAAACAGCGCATCAAGCAGCGCGCGCAGGGGCAGGCTCATGGCAGGCCTCCGATCAGCGGTGACGGCGAGGAAGTCGTCGGTGTCCAGCAGCGGCAGCCGCTCGGGTTCGGTGATGCCCAGCAGCGACCAGATCTCAAGACCATCGCGGCATCCGCCCCAGGCCTGCACGCGTGCTTTCAATGCGGCATGACGTGCCTGCAGGGCATTCAGTGCGGCATCGGCATCGGTGCTGGCGGTGTCCACCAGCAGCGCATCGAATGCCGCCTGCGCGAACGCCCCGATGGCATCGGGCACCAGCACCTGGGCCCTGGTCGATCAGGTAGCGGTGCTTGCCGCCAGTCACCCGCCAGACAGCGCGCGGTCGCGGGAATCAAACTCTTCCACGCCGCGAACGGTTTCGATCACCTCCGGCCCGGACAGCGACAGCCGGCCCTCCTCGGACATGATCACCGTGCTGCAGCAACGGGCAACGATGCCCATGCCACCGAACGCGCCGTTGCCACTGCCGATCAGCGCGACCACCGGGACGCCCGCAGCGCGTGCATCCAGGGTGGCGCGCCATGATCTCGGAAATGGCAATCAGGCCGGCATTGGCTTCGTGCAGGCGTACGCCGCCGGTATCAAGCAGCAGCAACACCCCATCGGGGCGGGTCGCCGCTGCGCGCGCAGCAGGCCGGGTCAGCTTGGCGCCGTGCACTTCGCCCACACCGCCGCCCATGAATTCACCCTGCTGCGCGGCAGCAGCACGCGCTTGCCGCGAAGCGTGGCTTCGCCGACGACGATGCCATCGTCGAATGCGGCTGGCTGGTCGAGTTGCGCCAGGTGCGGACTCATCATCCGTCGCGCAGGGCCCAGGAACTCGCGAACGATCCGGCATCGACCAGCCCGGCAATGCGTTCGCGCGCATCGGCTTCGTAGTAGCTGTGGCGCTGGACGTGGCTCATGGCGTACCTCCGGCCAGCAGGGTTTCCACCGCCTGGTCCAGGCGCAGGCTGACCACCGCCGGGGTGGCGCCGGCGTCGTTGATCGAGATGCGTACATCGCGCAGCGGATGGCGATGCGCGAAATCGCCGATCACCGCCTCCCATACGCAGCCGAAGCCCTGCGCGGCGGTGACGATGCGGACCGACATCGCGCCCTCCAGCTCTGCCGGCTCCAGCAGGATTTCAGGTTGCCCGAGGCCAACACGCCGACCAGCACCGCATCGCGCGGGAACTGCACCGGGGTGCGTCCTTCGAATCGATAGTCGAGGGTTTCCATGCTCAGCCCTTACCAGTTGCGGAAGCGCTTGGGCGGTCGTACAAGTACTCTGCGTTGATACCACTGCTT